CCGAGGCCGGCCCCGAGGCCGTGGATGGGCTGCAGAGGCTGCACCTCAGCGTGGCCGCCACCAAGTACCCCCGCAAGTGAGTGAGTGCCCTGTGCGCCCCGGGTGTTAGAGATGCAAAGCGTTACCTTCTAACCAAAAAGAAGGGGCTTTAAAATAACACGCTGCCTTGAAAACGCTAAGTTCTCTTTGAACACAAAGCCCCTCTTTTCCTTTCACCCCCTTGCTGAGCAGAAGTGCCCATCTCCTTTTGCAGCAAGGTTAACAAGTGTTGGTGTCGCTGAGGCTTCACTCAGAAATGAAGGTGATGAGTGGCGTTAGTCACTGTCAAGGGGATCATCCCAAAGCCAAAAATACACAGGAAATAAACATCTGGATCTTTCCTTGCCTTGCAGTGGTGTTTGCTGTGACTCTTGCAGGCTCGATGGCAAGTTTGTGGAGCAGCTGCAGACAGTGCTGTGCTCACCCAAAAGTCCCGAGCAGATTCAGGTGTTGTGTGCTGCCATCCTGAGAGAGATGTCACCTTGCAACGATCTTGTCCTCTCCTGTGATGAGATTCAAGATACAAAGCTCTTGAGCCTGGTATCCTCCGTCCTTCTGGCTCAGGTAAACGACCTGTCAGATCAGAGATCTTCTCCTGTCAATATGGATTTGCTTTTTGATTGTTCCCTGCTCCTGAGCTCAAGGAGAGTGAAAATCAATTGTAAGTATGTAGAAAAAAGCAGAGGTGTTTCAAGGATCTCATTATTTAAAGGATCTCATTATTCTGCTTTGCATGGGAAAAATAGCAAATTTTTGTGTATAGCACTTAACTACAAAAAATGCTTAAAATTATCATGTTCAGTCACTGAGGTCCTGGAAGCAAAAAAGAACCCTTTAGAGCTGGCTGCTGGAATAGATTTCAAATCAGGGTTGCTTGAACCTGGGAAAGATTTTAGATACTCTTCTTATGATATTGGCTTTCATGTTCACATATAAGAAACATACACAGAACCTACAAAACATGTAAAACTGTAAATACAAATGACACTTCAAAGGTCCAGATTCTCCATGAAGAGAAGCAAACATGAGGATCTCCCTGTTTTGAGTGCTGCCTGGGGAACAAGCTGCAAACTTCTGTTTTTCCTCTCCTTTTACTTGTATTGTGCCTGTTAAAGGTAAAATATTTTTGTGAAACTTCTCGTTCTGAGTTTCACTGTGTGCTTAGAAACCTCTCCAATGTTTGTGACATTCATCTGAGTCTGCTTAACTAAGGGAAATGAAACAGAAACCAGCAGTGTGTTATTTATGTGCTGCCTCACAGAGCTCCTCTCTCCTATATCCAGCCTTGGGACTGTCCTGCAGTTCCACAATGTAAAAACACACATAAGCAGCCCCACAGTTTGGGATCTGTGAATTCAAATTGCAGAAAATCTCTGTAAAACGTGCTAAAATCCCCTGTGCTGTCAGTTCTTTTTGTGTTTGACTTTGCTATTGATGCCTGGTGGAGGAGATTGGTCTCTGGTGATGGTAGATTATTTATCTTTCCCTCTGCTTTATTTTTCAGGGCAGCAGGGGTGAAGTGGCAGCTGTGGGGCAGCGTGTTGTGCAGGGCCTTGAAAGAAGACTGCCCGAGGGTCAGAGTGCTCGGTTCCTTCTTCCTGTCCTGGCAAATGTCATCAGCCTTTCCCCAGGATCCCTAACAGAAGGTAAATCTATAGCAAGGGCTGAGATTGCCACCTGGCTGTGGTCTGGGTACTGATCAGGAGGCTCTCAGCTGGAAGCTGCTGTTATAAGTGACATCTTTGCTATGAGGAAAGGGAAATTACTGGGTGAGATGTATTCCACCACATCTGGTGGAACTGGGATGGGCCTTCCAGTCAAACCCTGGCCATGGATTTGTATAACAGGATCATGTGCTCTAGCTGAGGTCTCCACATGCAGCAGGAGTGTGAAATTGTAGATATCCTGAAGAGCATCAAGCCAGGAGAGAAGGAAACAGAGATGTGCCTGTGCATGTGGTCAGGAGAGCAGCAGGAACAACTAGAGGTGCTCCTCAGCAGAGGCAGCACTGGGTGGGTCATGGTGAGCTAACCTAGGAGAGCACTCCAGGCACAAAATGCTGGGGAGTTGTGAGCAAGAGTTTCTGGGAGTTTCCTGTGAGGTTTGTGTGCTCCATGCAGTGCCAGAGAAGCTCTGGGGAGGATGCTGGGCTGGGTGCATGGGCTGCCAGAGCAGGAGGGATCACCTGCCCCAGCTTCTGTGAGCTCCCAGGGAGGGAGTTGTGCTTTTGGCTGCAGAGCTGAAGGCAGACACTGCCTGAATAATGTGACAGTGGTTTTGTGCATTCCTCCTAACAGCAGCTGTGGATGGAGACAAAGGAACAAGTATCTCTTGGGTGATCTGGTAGCAGAGTCCTTGGCTCCAGCACTCACTCCCTGGCTGAGGGAGTACGAGGAGTGTAGAACATCCACCTTGGGGTACCAGTTTCTTTATGGATTGCTGGGTCAGAGAGTGATCCAGGCTGGAGAAAAAGCACAGCAATTTAGGGTTAACAGGGACATGTTGCAGAGGCTGCTTCTCTGCCCCATCTAGCAATGACCCTGTCACTTCCCTTGTACAGAACAGACCAATGTTGTCAGTAAAAAGCTGGCTGACTGGCTGAGGTATGCAAGCATTCAGCAAGGAATGGCTCAACCCTCTGGAGGCTTCTTCTCCAGTCCCAGAACCAAACAGGTGAGTGCTGAGTGCCATGGTGACCTCACAAGAGCATTTGTTAGTCTGTTACCTGCTGGTTTGGATTCCCAGAATCACCTTCTTTTGGAAAACAGTAGTCTAGAAGTGCTGCTAGATTTTTGTGGGATATGTGGTTGAGACACAGAGGAAAGCAAAGGGGATTTACAGCTCTGAGATTTAGGAGTTCAGCTGTAGACCCAGAGCTTTAATCCTTGAAGCAGTTTTTAGAGAAGAGTCTTTTACTGACCCTGTACCTCAGAGTTAAAGGTGCAAACGAGAGCAGTGTCAAAGCTGAGTGTTTCAGCTGGGGAGAAGGGGCCA